AATAGATTATATTTCTTTCTGGCAATTTTCCGCTGGAAAATAGGAAAAATAATGGAAAAATAGCGCACTTTCGAGAAAATTATTTCCACTCGATCTGATGCAATCCAACGCAAATTCCGATATATTTCTGCCAACGAAGCTTTCTCAGATAGTGTTTAGCTACGCTGCGAAGGCTTCACGTTCGGAATTAGTACTCTCTCGAATATCACTGACAGTGATTCACTGTCCGCCTGTGGTACTCTTCTACCCTGGAGCATTCCTCCGTGTCTTCAAAGTGTCGTTTGCCGCGACGAAATCGTTGAGACTTCATGAAGTACTAGGCTCTATGTATTCTACGAGACAAAATCGATTACGATTCACTATAACTCAACCCATTAAATCATGGCATTTATGTCATGAGTCAAAGTCGAGAACATTGTGAGCCACATTTTCTCTCATTATGAGAGAAAATGTGGCATACAATGTGATTCTCATACCCTTGCCACGAGTGGCTCGTGGATCAAGATTTGTCGGGCATATGCACAAAAGCCTTTTGTCAAGAGGTGTTCCCGAAGATGTTACATCTTAGATGTACTCTGCATAATAGTCGGAGATTTACTCGCTTTGCCCGGGCATACATCGCTCGAGAGTTGATGGATTCCAGCGGAAAGAAAAGGCGAGAGATGGTGTTATTTTTCCCTATTTTTCCATCATTTATTTTTCTTGCAAATTTCCTTCCGGAAATTTCCGGATGGAAAAATAGCACAACCTTTATGCCAACCCTGGGTTACACCCACTAGGCAGCCCACCTGGTCACTCTGTCAGGGTTTCTGCTTATCATCTGGAATCCAGACATGCCTTTGTGGAAACAGTGACGGTTTCTATTCAGTTTAACCATCCAACTATGGCCGTTGAGACCTCGATCCCCTTCACTTCGATGAAACCTGGTCAAATTATTCTTGCCGAGCTATCGTGTGATGCAGATGTCGATAAGGTCATGGCTGAAACTGACAATGACGATAGTGTGGCTCATGGCTCAGCCATGATGGCTGACTAATGGTCCAGATTTACGACTTGCATGAAGGCAATAAATTTTCCCCAATGTGGTTATCTCATGACGGTTCTACTTACACTGGTGGCACTCCGGAAGATGCTCGGCGGGACAGTCCCCTGCTGCGTACGGTGTCTTCGGTACTCATGCGTATCAACCTGACTCCGACAAACATGCTCAAGGACACCTCACGCGATGCTGTGGTTGAGGCAGAATACCTCGAGGCGTAATCTTTTCTCTTCTTCCAGCTCTCCAGCACCCGAGACTTTGGGGGCGTCTACACCGTTCCGCTCTTGGGGAGGTCTCTGCGCTGAGGCTGCTCTCGCGTGTGTGCGACTGTTTAGGTCATCGTCGCCCGTGTACAATGATTGACACTTATAGGCTATAAGTGTGCGTGCTCCATTGCCGATTGCTTGTGCTTTGGAAGCCTCACGAATTGCCCATTATTCTTTCGGTCGAACTTTCTGATTCATATGGCATCGGTATCAGATATTATCACCCTCATTTCTTAATGACAGACTCCGAACTCTCAAATGATCCTGAGTTGTCACTAAGAAGAACCATACTTGAACCCCAAGACGCTACAATATGTTCTTCTTCCCCCGTTGCAATCGCGCCCACTTCGTTTCAACCTCTCCTAAAAAATTGACCTATCAACCCCTACGCTCCGCTGGCATGCCTTAATCTCTGTGAGTACCATTCTCGGAGAATGAAGTTCGATTTTTTCGACTAGTTTCAAATTTGGCTTTGGTTCAACTTTAAAACTTTTAAATTAGAAATTGTACGTAAAGTTGACCAAAAATCGGGAAATATCAGATTTCAGTATTTTTTAAGAACTTGCTTAGTTCTCACTTAAGATCACTCAAGATCTTAAGATCTTTAATTTTTAAGGTCTAACTTACTCGATTTAATGAGGGAGCAGTGAAACGTACTTAAAATTATTCAAGTTTTTTAGTTTAGGTCTCTTACCTTAATATTGGCCAATCTTAAGCGGTTAGTGGAAGAGGGCTTAGGGACAGAACACAATTGATCGATACTATCACAGCCTAAGGCTGTGGAACAGAATACACTGTGTCAAGCCTAGACACTGTCTAGTAGACAGTCTATGTATGCTGGTCTGGAATTCGCGTATATTCGTGGAGAAATCGATCCAAAAGCATACATCGGCAAACTGGAGAAAGCACATTGAGGGAATTCGGGAAGATTTCATGGAACGATCATAGTAAGGCAGGTAACTTGACATGTCTTGCATGCCATCGGGATCGACTCGTGTTGTATCTTACCATACTCTGACAGCGACAGAGAAGAGTCTAATGATGGCGACAACAGGGCATTGTCTGCTTCCTTGTTGTCCTTCGCATTCGATCCACATCCGCACAGTTCCAAAAACCCCAGCTCCTGACTGTCAGGTAGTTTGCAGGGTGAATATCAGTGAGTCACTGAGATGGCAATCCTTTTCCATTCTGGTTGTATATATGTTCTCTCACTGATTGGTTGTATGATAATACATGCTCTTTCGAACACTAACTTCGAGTTCGAACTTTGAACTTAGAATGTCTTTAAATAGTAGAAATATTTTGAAAGCTTCCCCAACTCAGAACTCGAGACTTTCAAGTTTTCATATCGTGTCTTTCCGATCGGAAGGCCGAAGGCTGCAAAGGAAACGAAATTGGGACTCCGGGAGCCGATTAAAGTGCTCTGATTTCCGAGTCCGAGTTCTCGGAAAAGCGGCTTTTCCGAGCTCGGATAAAAACTACGAATTAAAGTGCGTTCGAAATTCCGAGCTTTTTTCCGAGCTCGGAATCCGTGTTACTCGGTTCCGAGGAAAGCGATTTTCCGATTTTCGATTAAAGTGCTCTGATTTCCGAGTTCCAAGTTCGAAAATGGTTGGTGTCTGTCGCAGACACAGAGGTTCTACTTCCAACTCTACTATCCAACTCTTGATTCTCAACACTACTACCGGGCATTTGGATGAAAGATCTATAAGTGATTTTTTAGTCAGTCACGGATAAACATAGCTATAGTAAGCTATGGGCACAGCCAACGGATACACTTAATAATATCGATCACTAGGGCGAGCGCAGATAACGGCTGATAATTAGGTCATGGCGACTTACAGCGGGTTATCGCTTGCACGCCCCCCAGACATGGCCTCAGCGCCGTGATCTGTCAACCATGACGATACTTTAGAAGGAAGGCGACGAGTTTTAGTAGGACGAAAAGCACCAACAATAGCACTTACATCAAACGTCCACGTAAAATGGGGTCTATCACGGACCAACGGACGCTTGTAACGACCCTTATTATCCTTAGTAAGAGAAAGAGCATCAATAGAATCACCGTCACGATTAACAACTTCCATGATGTACAGGATACGGTTAGGTTCAGACGACCCGGAAGTATCATCATCGATAGGATAAATAACAAAGTCACCTTTGGAAACGTTAGCAGCAGGAATACCAACATCGTTGGGTAGCTGTAGCCGAAAAGTACTAGCACTATAAGCTTGATGTGGTTTGACTGCGTAATTGAAGTCCTTCATCTCGGCATCAGAATGATAGGGCAACAATTGACCTAAAGATACCCATCCTTGGGACCAACCATCAAGACAATATAGATAGGGGTTGGACTCATGCAGAGAAGAGACTCTGAAAGGGCCCCGAATCACACGGTGGCCGTCCTCCATTCTAGAAACACGAACTTGATCGCCTATCTTATATACTTTCAGCGGCACTTTACGGGCCAAGTCTTGCATCTCAGCCAGATGAGAAGCATCGCTCTGAATAGCGCTACAAATATAAAAGTTATCAGCGATCTGGCGATGCAAAGTTTCCCAACGTTTAGAGATCTCCTCTGAAGACTCGGGGAAGGAGTCCACATCAAAGATGGGTCTATCCACTCCAAACACCAGCTCTGATGGGCTGAAGCCATGTGGGGCCATCCGAGACTCTCGGATAGCTCTCGGACCGAGAGCTATTGTGAATAGCGATACATGTTTGCACTACAACCCACCATGGAAGACTACCACTTTGGTCTACAAAATTGCATCGCAAAGCAATCTTCACCTCCTTGACCACATACTCGACGCGACCTTGACATTTTGGGCGACGAGTGATGCCAAGGGATCTGGTGATGTTCACGACTTCCAAAAACCGGCGAAGCTCCTCAGAAGAATGGGAAGGAGGAGCATCTAGCTGCACTTGACGTGGTCTGCCGAATACCGCAATCCATTGTAATAGGGCATATATTACAGTGTAATAATTACACAATTAGTAGAAGTTGAAGACACCGGACAGCCAAGTACAAAGTTGGTTGCACAATCAACCATCAACACTATATAGGGACATGTATTGGGATCAGGATCCACACCATCACTTTCCTTTAGGGGACCGACCAGGTCCAGTTGGATTTCTGCAAAACGCGCAGAACCACGACGAATCGTCGTCGACGATATAAGAAGGGTTGGGAAGGATTTAAACCACTAGATTTGGACAACTGACACGTACGACACCTATCTACAGCACGTCGAACGATCTTGCCAATACCAGGATAGTAAAAACCATCAGACTGAATCGCTTGAAGGCATCGCGCCGCGGAGCGATGACCACCAGTCAATGGTGCATAATGATAATGGTATATAGCCCATGCACGAGCTCTAGGGGTGAATAAATAAATATACCAATCAGGGCTAACTTTGAAGTCTCTATAGCATAGAACCTTTTTCTCTGGATCCCAGCGGAAAGAGCTTCTGGGACCTTCACAGAGGGCACGCGCACCAGGCTTAACAGAGGAATCCGAGATCACCTTCAAAGCAACCAAGAGATTGTAAATAGATATATCATGAACAACTTGGATAGATTTTATATAGTCATGACATTCAAGGGCAGATGCTATATGACGCACAATATCAGATTCCGTTAGATTACCGACAGCTGTCAGATCCGCGAAGGAAGCACTCTTGCTTGTGGTCGGCTCATCACGAACGGCCAGGGATACAATGGAGGTTGATTGAGACTCCAGCTTAGAAAAGGCGGACGGATGGAGGCATCGATGACTTGACCATAAATGAGGACCAACAGTAAACACATCCTGAGCGCATGATGACACAACCATCATGTTCACATGATCAGGGAGATCAGCGTCGGACGGAGGTTTCTCAGAAGTAACAGGTGAAACTTCACGCCCCCCAATTTGAATCTTTGGAAGTGAAGAACTCAGGCGAGACAAGCGATCAGCTTCTGAGTTTTTAGACCCTTCAATGTATTGAAAGGATAACTCAACAGCATATACTTCACGTATATGACTAACAATAGTCGAAATGGAATCGACCAACCGCTGAAGAGCAATCCTATCATAACTCTTCGACCCAACGATCAGCTGAGTGGCCCATGAGACAGCACTTTTATTGTCACACAAGATGATGGCCTTCCTAATCTGACAGGAACGGGCAGGAAAAAGTGAGAGCCAATGTTCTAGGGCAGACAACCCACGGAGCAACACCACTGCTTCTTTACGGTTGATATGCCACCGATGCTCAGACGGGCGAAATGTAAAACAGCCAACTACGGATTGCAATAGTACCTTCGATGGAACACTGAGATCAGACCAGGACTAGAAAGATGACTCACCGACTGAGTGTAAAACATAGCCATACCCCTCAGCTGAAGCATCACAATGTAGGAGTAGAGTCTCATGGTCAGCAGGGATAGCAACATGAGTACACCTACCAATAGATGAGTCTTGCATCTGACGAAGGAGAGCTTGATACGACTGTAATTGAGTAGAAGAAAGACGCCACCGCTTATCCCAAGCACTTCTGCCGCAGAAGTTCTGCGAGACCCACCAGGAGATTGTCCAAAGATATGGCGAATATAATCTCCAATGAAGCGGACAGTAGCATGGCATCTAAGAACGTCATAGTATCGTCCCGCGTGAGCAAAAGCAAGCCTACGAGAGACGAAAGGTCCATCAAGTATCACAGGATCAGGCTTCACGCACTGAATCACTAATTGACTGTCACGGTCAATACGCCACTCAACACCTAAGTGGCGAACAGGAGTCGAAGTCTTGCGCAAATTATCACATTTTTCCTCAGGGAACTCACTTCCACAGAGAACAGCGATCGCCTGCATAATCGACTTAAACCGTCGTACTAATTTTCTTTCCCCAAGTACCAGAACATCGTCGTAGTATACAGCAATCACGAGTCCTTCGATGATATCAGTAAAGTCGTTAACAGACGACATCTCGATACGTCGGCCAGTCATAGCTGAGAACGTCGCGTTCAACAAAACAGTCACATGTCCCGATAAACTCGAGGGACCGTGTTTATATCCAAACAATACGCGATCGGAATAGAAACACTTACCATCAGATTTAATCTTGAGCACCTTATCTCCACTCAAACGGAGTCGTAAAAAGGCCTTAGACAAATCGAGGAAGAGGAAATCATAATTAGTACGATAGCGGCATCTCACCATATCAACGATATCTCCAATCGGCCGTCCAGGGTAACTCGCCTTGGGCAAGAGCCGATTGACCGAGCGAAGATCGCTACACGGCCTACAAGGCGTAATTTTTAGACTGTTTTGCACAACCGGAAAGGTAACGGCTGATGGATATATTACTGTGTGATGAGGTGGAAGAGTGGAGAACAACCACTTCTTATCACAGAAGTTCCCAATCTCACGACGAAACTGGTCACGATTGCTAGGAGATAAATCTGCAATCAAACCGACAGAGTAGTCAAAGACTGAGGGGGAAGAGGAAGTCGCATCCTTACACTCATCCCAATCAACCTCATAAATTCAACACTGTTGCTTGGTGTCCAAGGAGTCAGTTGGTTTAACTGGCCGCAATCGGCCACGGTAATTTGGCGCACCTGCTAAAGGAGACCATTTACCAACGACAGAGCGGAGATAATCCTTTGCTACTTGAATCTGGTCTTCAAGGGAGTGTGGTGAGGCAATAGGTGCAGGGAAGGGTACTAGGATAGACACACCTAAACGCTTCAAGTCTCTGAATCCAACCAACAATTCGCATTGGCATGACTTTTCAAGACGCCCTTCCTCTAACACCAAGCAATAAAGAGTGATAACACCTTTCCCTTTCACAGAGATACGAAGGCTCGTTCCCTTCCCAGGAATATCACAACTACCCAGTGAAGTGAGTTGTGTTGAATCATCCCTCATTGATAACCCTAATCGATGCACTAAGGCAGCAGAAACAATGTTCATAGAACTCATTGTGTCAAGGGCAGCCTTCACGGTCTCGTGGCAAGAGTCAATGGAGTCCTCATCGCTTCCCTGAAGCTTCTCGCTCACGACCTCGACTTGAGTTGTCAACAGGGAGTGACTTATCTGCAAAGAAACTGCAGTACCAAGATTAACCTCAGCGGACGAATCATCGCGATTCGAGCGCGAATGAAGCAACGTAGGAAGCTTACCAGAATTTCTAGTTGGGCATTGATAAGCATAATGGCCAGTTTGGTTACAACGATAGCAACGGACAGGTTTCTTTACCGGACGAGGCGAATCCTTCTTCTGTGAAGAAGCATTAGGGATAGTTAATCGAGTCGTAGTTTTGGGAGTTTGACCATTCACAGTAGAGCCATCACGAGGAAGACGTTTAGGTGGTAGTGATGATGATGAAAGCAAGCCTGAGCCACGACGACGTTTATTAAAGGGAAGTCCACTAGTACTTCGACGATTTCGTTTATGAGACTCTGGAAAAAAGAGCCAGAGGCATACTGTAGGTCACGTACAGGTCTAGGAACAGAGATTCCCAGAAATGCTTCTACATTGGGATAACCAGACGACCGAGCAAGGGCAACAATATCAGCCAGAAAGGAATCAGGCGAACCTTCTTCGCTCTTCTCGAGCTGCTTCACGTGATTAGAGAAGGCAATGTCATGATCGGTGGCAAAGAGAGGAGTCGCTCTCAAGATCGCACCAAGAAGTAATCTTCGTAACTTCCAAGGAATGGTGATACCATCTGAATGCAGAGATAAACGAGAATAGCATTTCTTCTCTCTATCCACCAACTTACTGAGGCTTTCACGGCCATCAGCAATAGACAGAGGCAAATTCACCCACTGGCGGAGAAGATAAACGGGATGATGTAGTTGTGGTTGCTCGGCGTTCTCTACAGCTACCAAAGATTTTTCAATCTTAGCCAGCACTCGTTGACTTGCAGCAACATATCTCTTGTAAAGTTCCTTAACCTCCAAGGAGGTTTCAGACTTGGCCAGGGCAATATCATCGCGCTGCATAATCTTTTGGATGCTTCTCCAGCACAAGATATCTGCATCAGGGTTAAGCACATTGGAGGAAGTAAGAGCTTCATCCAGAAGAGCTGACTTACCAACATCTGCAGGAGTACGAGAGTAGAAGGTAACATGACAATACACCTGTAGAGGCGCCGAACTACCAACGCATCGAGATAGAGCCAATCCAAGGCAACGGTCATACACGTCATAATCAAAACGACGACGAACCTTCTCAGGGCGGGTAGCAGGCCAAAGGACAGCATCATAATAAGCGTCCCTATGGGGGGAAACATTTCAGGCTTTAGCAAAGCTGAGGGGGCTACTACCGATCTTCTTGCCGTCCATATTGATGAAGAAAAGATCCCCAAGCGAAGGGGAATTCGTTGAAAACCCAAGTAACTCGGCTGCCACCTTTGAAGGAGGAAGCAACATCAGCTCCGGTACAGAAGAAAGAGCTGAAGGTGATGTCACATCATCAACAGAAGACAAAGCGGCTTCACGCACGAGCGAGGAGAGAAGGTCAGAGTGGGTAGAGAGTTTGGACACGGGCGGTGCACCATGGTTGGTGTCTGTCGCAGACACAGAGGTTCTACTTCCAACTCTACTATCCAACTCTTGATTCTCAACACTACTACCGGGCATTTGGATGAAAGATCTATAAGTGATTTTTTAGTCAGTCACGGATAAACATAGCTATAGTAAGCTATGGGCACAGCCAACGGATACACTTAATAATATCGATCACTAGGGCGAGCGCAGATAACGGCTGATAATTAGGTCATGGCGACTTACAGCGGGTTATCGCTTGCAAAAAGTTTTCAGGGTCTTTGGACTCCCGGAAATCCGGACCCGAGCTCGGAAAAACGCAACTGTGCGCCAAGATAGCAGAAACTCGGCCACAAAACAGCTCAAACACATACAAGCAACATGCAATAAGCTATTGCCAATATCATTATTGGCTCAGGCATGGCCATTGTCATCGAGGGCAAACTGACCCAGAGCCTCGCCGAAGACAAACTCACTCCTCTGTCGGTCTTCTTCCCGATACAAACATTTTGTTGTTAACGCAACTCAATGCTTTGTATCCCGCTTGAACTAACTTTTCGCAGGTAGTTCGTTATGTGCGCTTGTGAAGGCAGGAGTATTAATTTGCAAGGCTATGATGTCGTATTGTAGCCCCTCCGAAAAGAGGCTTGCGCCTGTGAGTATCTTTCGAGGCACTCGCAAACTCGACTGTGTTGGGGTGATATCACGTGTTCGTTGATCACGCGATTCTTCTCTTCAACGCATCACGTTAAATCAATTAATAAATGCAGAGAAGTGTTCGAATCACGCGCTCAGTCTGGTCGCGATATTACTATGTATCTAAGCTCGAATATTTCCGAGTTATGAGTTTTTTTCCGAGACCGAGCTCGTAATGCCGTTGTGCACTTTAATTCGGGGAAAGTGACTCGGTCCGAGTTCTCGGAAAAAAGCCCTCGGGAAATCGACTTTTCCGAGGTATCGCACTTTAATCCGTGGACTCTCGGAGTGGGGTTTCCAAGGCTCGGAACTCGGTAACCGAGTACTTGGACTCGGAACTCGGAACGCCTTAGCACTTTAATCGGCTCCGGGTCAAAAGTGAATTTTCGATCTCGGAAAGAAACTTGCATTCTTAAATTAACTTCGATTCTCAACTTCAATTCGGACTCGGGAAAGTCACTTCTCCGAACCTTGGGCCCAGAAAAAGGAGCACCTCAAGGGGCCATCTGATTACAGAGACGATGCATGAATCAGTCGCAATGCGAATTCCGAATGAAGCTAATCCACCAGTGACACTCAGTCTGACAGTGCTTCACCGTGTGACCAACACAAACTGTCCACATGAATATTGATGCCTAAGTTAGGAATCCTAACCATGAAATCAAATGAATAGGTTGATGGAATAGAGAGAATACCCATCATGAATCTTAATCAGCGTTAGAGAGGATATTCACAACGTATCCTGAGTAATCGAATGATAGGTAATGATGGATAATCCGTGATGGAGGGTCCGATAGTGAGCCATCAAAGATACCATTGGCACATGGTGCCTCTGGCCTCTCCCATACGGTATCCGGTACACTTAGAATATGACTCTTCAGTGCAGTGCTGAAAGATACAAGCGACGTATCCGACGAAATGCGAGCTGAACTTACATCGAACAAGCCTGAACAGTCGAGGAGGCAACGACCCAAAACGCACTTGACATCGACATTGGCACTCGCAGGAGCCGGAGGACACTCCGAAGCTTGTGTGCATTCCTCAGCGCAGATCGCGTAGGCAGTTTTACCGCTAGGGCTCTACATGGGGGGCTTCATGCGCACAATCACATGATCAGCCTACGTAAAGAACGAAGAGGCTCTGTTGGTTCGGGCAATCACAGTTCCCGACAATTGCTCCTTTAGAATAAGTGCAGTCCGTGGGTCTACCGTAGTATGGCAAATTTGAGTTCCCTACTAGTCCGTCCATATCTGACATGAGCGCACAGCAGTCACTACAGGAAACCCGAATGGTCCTTTCACCGATAGTCTGCCCCTGGTCGATGCTATCGTCATAAGACCTAATCAAAGAATTACTACAAATTCAACCAATGCAGTCTTATGGCTCAGTAACTTACATAGTCAGTTCGGTGATATTGAACCCGCTGCCCGAGACTATGAACAGAGCGATGAGAGGAATGATGGAGCACATGACGTATGCAAATACACTATATGAATAATTTAATCCCACTGACAGGTAAATGAAACTAACTGATAGCTCATCCACTATCAGCTCCCGTCCCGATTCCGTTCTCACACTCGAGGACTCCAGAAGTTCCGGTCAAAGATCTACGACATTTCAATATCTATTTCAGCTTGGAATCGAACAGATAGTAACGAGAATATTGTTGACGTCCGTATCGTTCCCTCGCATCAAGGCGACCCGACATTAGCTCGATAGATGCATCCCGATAATAGACTGCGAACTCGAGCCAGATGGCTACCGAGCGCTCGATGCTCAATATAAGTAATACGTGACATACTTCATAGTATGAAGCTCATACAAGCGCTAGAGCACAGAAGCACAGAGAATAACTCGCACGTATGACATGCGTGCATGCGTCACATGTACGTGGAGGCCTTTCTGTAAATGCGTGCATGCTACAACGTCTCCTTTCTGAGGGGGTTAAACCCTTCCAAAGGCCGGCTAGAAGCACCTTGGTGTTGGGTACCTGCTTTGCCCAAGGCTTCAACATACGCCATGATGGCCTAAGCTCGTTTGTTTTGTTCGGTCATTCGACCATTGTTCGTAACCCGACGGCTACGAAGAAGACGATCATACGCCCACTAATAGTGGGCCACTATACTCCTTGATGACCCTCCTCCACGAGACACTGGCTCGCTTTCTGGGACCTGTCCCCTCGTTGAAATGGACGGTCAGGCGGAAGCACCCGGCAAGAAGAAGACTAACACCAAAGGCGTCGCTGGGGCGGAACTATGCCCGACAAACCAGTAACTCTGGACCGGAAAGGGAAGGGTAAAGATCGTAGTGTTTCGACTCGTAAGACTATCATACATCAGATACAGTGGCCTCCCGCTCCGCTAGCGCTCGTGGAACCCTAGGAACTCCTAAAATTTGTATAACCCCATATAAGACCCCGCGGCATCCTATGACGGATGGTGAGTCGGAGTATAATGACGTGTCGGTACGTTCGCTCGGAAACTTCAATCTAGACAGCGCCTCGGTTCATGATGGTGATGTCTCGGAAATCGAAATGGAACTAATGAGGTCAACGGCTAGCACTGACACAGTGTCAGTGACACTGTGAGAAATGACATAATCCAAGGATCCGTTCCACGAATGACTAGTCTGGAGCTTCTTGGTGACGCCCTGGACAAGTTTACTGGTTTATACGTTAAGAAACTCTGCTGCTCTGACGTGCTAGAAGTCATATCGCCTACCATTGATCTGCTCCCTGCGAAGCATACTACCAGGGACCACCGTGCTCTACAACTATTGACGAGGTACCACGTATCTCTGATTGAGTGCGCGACTCTGAATACTAACGGGACGCCATTCCCTCCTAGTTGGAGGCAGAGTTTACTCTAGAACGTTGAAGTCTAGTCTAGAAGTCCTGGAATGTTGGAAGTTCCAACATTCCAGGACCTCGTCACTGAGCATATGAGAACGACCGTTGAGTCAGCGTCGTTGAATGGCAGGCCTGTGTAAGCCGGCATGTCGACGAAAGCGATAGGTAGATCTCCACAGGCAGCCCCCCTTCAAGAGCCCAACTATCTGCCCCGCGGCGCAATTAGTGAAACCCACGGAGACAGACAGTTTATTGACGAGCATCACCGGTGCACCGCGCTTCACTGAGACCACGAGCCAGCTCTTCGCTTGCTTTTTGGACCGATCTCCCCGAGTGTGAAACTTTGAGAACCACGAGTCTCCCAGCAAGACTGTGGAGCGATGCGCGATTGACTTCTCCTGCTCTTTCCCGCTAGATGCGAGGAGTATGCTATCTTCAAAATTTTTCTGTTCAACAGCTCTCAGCTGATGCATTTGCCTTGCAAGGAGCAATCGGTGACCGTCGTAAGGTTGCTCACCATCTCGCTGCCGCAGCACTGCTGCGCAACTCGCGCAGCCTGGAGAGAAATCGTTAAAGTGCGACATCAACTCTCCAGATAATCTGCTCTGGGAAAACGGTCTGGCGGACAGCACTGAAGGCAAGTCTTTCCTGTTTAACGACACGACTGTCGGCTGTCGAGCTCGTGGAATATTGAGGGTTATCTAGAATAGGGAGAAGTTGACCCCAATCACGAGAGAGTACCACAACAAGCCCCCGAAAACCCTATGAGCGCCTTGTGGTTTGGCCTGTCGCAAATGTGAGTCGATCATCCCTAGGAAACGACAACCCACAAGGCGCAACTCGACGAGATGATCTCGTCCACAATTACGAGTCTAACTCTCTCGAACCTCGCCTGTAGTGCAGCCAACACAGGACCTTCCAGAGACGTGAACGTAGAGTCAGACCGTGGCACTTGAAGGCTCAGAACGCGGTGAATATTCTGCCCCAGAGGCAGTAAGCAAACAGTTTTGCCTGTCACGGCCATAGTAGGACAGCATTCGGGGCCGTGCATTTCGATATGGGCTTTCACCAGGGCCTGTATTGTGTTACACAATAAAAAATCTACACAATTTGTGTAGATTTTTCCCGTTCCACCGACTCCGTGCAGCATACAGTACGGCGCATCATCGTGTGTGTTTTCTGAGAGCCTCTGTCGACACCAGTCATCCACCTGTTCCTCATTCAAAGCATCAACGCTTACGCTGCTGAGATCTTGTAGATGATCGAAATTCGATCAGCGAATCCTCCAAGTGATTCTAGGAATCCTATTGCACGACCGTAGTCACCCATTCCTTGATCCAGCAGTCGCTGCCTCTCGCGTTCAAGATCCAAGATATATGCCGGGCCGAAGATTTGCATGTATTCGTCTTGAACAGCTTCTTCCTCGAGCGATAACTCCGACCCCGATGAAGTAATTTCGACGTCTGATATGGCATCCCCTGCGTCCACCTGAGACCCTTTCCTCCAGCGCCGTATTGCTTCATCATAGCCAAGATTCCAGCCCAGTTCAATTCCGTCGACTAAAACGAGAGATGCTCTGTCCTCCCATGACGGGCTTCCTGCAAGGCAATCTTCGACAGAGCGTAGAGGAATAGACTCTAGGCAGAGCACTCGACAGAAGTGCTCCATATAGGTGTTGCCAACATTTGGATAGATGCGGACGATGATGTTCTGCTGGCGCCGCGCTCCAGTGGAGCGGCTCCACCGACAACTGATGTAGTGTAGCTTTTCTGAAGACTTCAACAAAGGGTAGGTCCTCAAGCTCCTGCAATCGACTGAGGTATCAGGACCAGACCGAAGTAGTCCGAGTGACATGGATGGTATCATTGCCGTCTCTGACGTGCAGATGTACTATCTGGGTAGACCTTGCAAGTAGTGACCTGATAGGTCGGACCTACTTCTTGAGCTGTTACATTGTTGTAGATTCGTGTTGCTCCCGTTGCGAGTGCCCTCACTGAGAGTATCAGTAGTCGTTCGCCAAGTTGATCTATTTCGCATAGCTATTGCACACGGTGTACGTGTGGACAGAATGGCCTTCGACTTGTTCTGTGCTGTTGTGTTGCACAGTACTGAAGCCTACCTGCTTGTTCACGACATCCTGGTACTGGAACCGAGAAACTAAATATGGCGGCTGTACTTGATCATGATGCTAAAGCGTCGTTGCCTGCATGTCCGCGGTTCAGTGGTGAAGGTATATCAGCTGATGAACCGGCGAAAAGTGTCGAGCTCTTTTTGAAGAAGTTATCCACCTATCTGCAGATGAAAGGCCTTCGTAAACCTGCTCCTGATGCCGATGAAGCTGCACAGCATCAGTATAGCATGAAGGCGGCTGGCATTTTGAAAATAGCACTTGAAGGGCGAGCGGCCCAGCTAGTGTACTCCCTACCCGAAGCCCTTCAGGATGACTATGATGGATTGGCTACTGCTCTACGATCTGCCTTTGGGCTAGGGCGCCTTGGAGCCTGGAAAGCTTTCTGCCGGCGTCAAATGAAGACCAGCGAACTCACTGATTCCTTCCTAGCAGATCTAAGGGCATTACTTGATATAAGCCATCCCACTATGCAAACTGCTGCTAAGGAAGCGCTGCTGAGATCACAGTTCATAGCTGGCCTACCGGCTAATACAGCTGCCCGTACCCTAGCCATTGCTAAGTCCGAGGATCTTCAGGTCTCTCTTCTAAGCCTTCTTGGTTTGGTCAAAGATCACCTTAGAGCGTCGAAGTTTGACGATGTACCCCCCGAGACCCTAGGTGCAGCCGGGTTGCCGTGGCAACCCAGTAGACTTGGGAAGGGCCGTAAAGGTGCTGGACGTGGTGGTAAAGGCAAAGGTCGTGGCCCTCATAAAGATTCGTCACAGTCCTTCCCACCTAGAGTCTGCTGGAACTGCCATGAATCTGGACATTTAAAAGCTCAATGTCCACAACTCGTCAAATCTATAACACTTGCTGGCACTTTAAACCCGACAGGGGGCCACAGCCAGCAGTAGCTGACGTGGAAAGTCCCCCGTATAAACTCCTTGCAGCGGCTGGTTCTATACATCCAAGTCTTGATTGTTCACTCCTGCCAAGTCGTGAATTTCTGATTGCTATGGCGAATGACGAGACCATTTCTCTGACAGCCTTATGCGATCCCTGCTGCTCTCGTACTTTAATAACTGCTGACACATTGCAGCTACTGCATTTGACTGCTTCTGAGGACACCCTATCAGCCTTGATCACACTGAATGGACAAGTCCTCAACAGCATAGGCAGTAGCAATGTTACCATTACTCTTGATGATATGACTTCTTCGGTATGCGCCTTAGTGGTTCCTTATTTACCCGGAAACTTACCACTCTTGGTTGGCGCTGACTTCTGGTCGTCCTTTCCGGGATACTCATTAAATATCCACTATTCGGCTGTGGGGAATGTCACTACAGCCCTGGTAGCAGGTGCCGCTGTTCCGGACACGTCACAAGCTACCATCTATGAGTTAGAATCCTGCACGGTACATGAGTACCCTGATGGCACTACTTTATTGGATGCCCCAGATTGCACCTGCAAACGGCTCCAACAAGCCGATGGTACCTTCTGGTGGCAGGTTGGTTGGAAGTGGTTAAATAATAAACCACCAGACTATATTTGTTGTCCAGAACAATACCCAATCAAGCATCTTTCAGAGGACCAACAACAAGCACTGTTTGCTGAGCTCGATAGCTGGATCGAGCGAGGGTGGCTTGTTCCGGTTGGTGAAGATGAATTACATAAAATACGTTGTGTCCTACCTCTTGTACCAGTTGTTCAAGGTCACAAAACAACGGCCGTGAGGCCTGCTATTGATTATACCTATATAAATCGATATTGTATAATGGCAAGCGATCCGTTTGCGGGTGACTGCCAAAAAGAGATTCGTAAATGGAGACGAATTTCTGAAGGCGATGTTCTTGATATATCCCGGGCATATTCAAGTCTGTTCATGGATCCAGATCAGTCTTGGTATCAGATCATCCGCCTAGATCATCGTGTAGATGGTTGCTACTATCGTCTCTGCCGGTTAGGGTTTGGAGCAAGCTCAGCCCCTCGTATGTTGAAATCAATACTTGATTTCTCCCTCAAAGATGAGCCGACGAGGAACTTAAGATATTTTGATGATATTATCGTCCCCAAAGTCTGTAGAAGTTCTACGATTGAACCTTCCGCTGATAAAAACAATACTCAAGAAGATGGTGTTGACCGTGTTCGAGCGGCTTTATTGCGGAATTCTCTTACCACTAAAGACCCATGTCCTATTGAGGGTAGTTGACTCTTGGGTTTGGTAGTCTACCGTGCTGATGATGGCGAACTCCGATGGAGACGCCGATTGACAGTTGATGAATTGTTATGCATAGAGTCGCAACTGCGAAACAGCGAGCATGTTTCCTGCAAGTCCTTTTCTTCCTGGCTTGGGACCCTTTGTTCCCATGTTCCAGTATGTGGTTGGTTGCGTATAGCCGCAGCTATTGGGCGTCGACTCTTGGGACGTATCTGCGACACTACTAAAAGCTCGTGGCTCAAAAATATTCCCATTGGAATCCGGAAATATGGATTACATTTATGCGCATTACTGCGTGAACGAGGCGATCCTGCGTCCGGTTTATGGTTATTACCTGAGGCTCATTTTGGAAAAGAAGTGAGTGCTTATCAATATATCAAGTTGTGGTTCGATGCTAGTATGCTGGCTATAGGAGTTGCCCTTACTGATGAGCACGACAACGTATTATATGACCATTGCTCACTCACTCAACCATCATCAGTCGACCCTGATACTCGACCCACAGCTCATGCCAATATAAGAGAGTTGGATGCATTACTAAAGGCCTTGGACGTTGCTATCGATTATGACTATAGGAAATTTGAGTTGATCACCGACTCCAAAGCTGTATATTCATGGGTGGATCGTCTTATATCCCACAAGAAAATAACAGTTCATGGTATGTACAAACCACTCGTTGTTAGAAGACTCGATTTGATACGTACCTTGATGGTAGAGTTTAATCTACAGTTCACCATTCACTGGGTAAGATCCGAACCCAACATAGCTGATAGTTTGACTCGGCTACCCAAGGGCTTACCAGACTGTTACTCTGTCGACGGCACGTTCGCGCTGGCTGAAATTCGGAACTTGTCAACAAGTGCACCTAATGACATGTGGTGGCCAACAGTTCCCCAGATTCTACAGGCGTATGAGCAAGGTCTGCCTGATGATGACCTACAATCCTTGGTTTGTGATGCTACATCAGGCCTCTACTGGTACCGGAATAAAGTGTATCTCCCACCTTCTCTTCGTGGCCGTGTCATTACTAGTGTCCATGAAGCTACTGTGCATGGTGGTATCTTGCCGGTGGTAGAAATAGTCGGCCGGTACTACTGCTGGCCATCACTCCGTGCTGATGTCGAAACGGTTTTACGACAGTGCCCCAGCGAAACATGCGAGAAGAATAAGGCGAAGTTGTTTCCTCTGGTCACTGGCGACCCTCGTCGCCTAGCTTCTGGTCCATGGGTTATATGTGCGTCCGATGTGACTCATATAGATTCACGGCCACTCCTATCTCGTATATGTGAACATACCCGATACGCTCTGGTTGCAATGCTTCTGAATGAACAAGCAGTGTCGATATGGGCAGCATTTACCGCTATTTGCAAGCACTCTCTCCTTGGATATCCTGTATTCCTGCGTGCGGACAGAGGAGCGTGGAGTGCTCTACGTGACAAGCTCAAAGCTGTTGGTGTAACGTTGATCCTAACAAGCGGTTATCGACCAACCAGTAATGGCGTATGCGAAAGGTTTCATGCATCACTCAAAGCTAAGTGCTCTATTCTAGCGGACCTCCCCATCGCTACACGTGTTCAACGTGCATGTGATTCTTATAATCTATCATCACATAGTTCTCTTGGCGGAGTTTGCCCTGCAGAAGCTTTAACTGGTCGAGGAATTCGCCGTGGACTAGAAACTCCGTCGTCCGTCCCTCCCGCTTCACAGGTTATTGGAAATGCCTCTTACACAGTCGGCGACCAAGTTTGGCTTGCGAAGCCAAAAGAGATTCGGCATTCTGGTCAGCGTTTCTTTGATACTCGCTATATTGTAGAAGAAGTATCGCCATTTGCGTGCCAAGTACGTCCTATTGATGATAATGGACTTCCTGTTGGCCGCATGGTTACTGCCACCATTAATAGACTTATCCCATGTCGTAATCAGTTAGAGTTTACTGAAAGTCTTATCGCGTCTCCTATTCCGATTGATATCCCATCCAGTGATATTGATGAAGACTCAGATATGCTCATTGTCAGCCCAGATGATCAAATTATTGTTGACGACTCTGTTGCTGACCGTGTTAAATTGCATCCCAGAACACATAGGGCGCCTGATAGATACGACCCTTTGCGTTAACTACCTGTTAAGCTACTCTTTCCCCTTTTCTACTATTATTGTTCGTGAGTTGGCGAACAAGGGGGGCAGGATGTTGTAGATTCGTGTTGCTCCCGTTGCGAGTGCCCTCACTGAGAGTATCAGTAGTCGTTCGCCAAGTTGATCTATTTCGCATAGCTATTGCACACGGTGTACGTGTGGACAGAATGGCCTTCGACTTGTTCTGTGCTGTTGTGTTGCACAGTACTGAAGCCTACCTGCTTGTTCACGACAACATCCCTAGAGGCTCTCGCTCTAGGCTAGAGCGGACGCCGATGAGGAGCCTCCTCAATGCTTTGACACCAGGATCATCCGCGCTCAGCCCTCGGCGTGCCTTGGTCAACATTTTCAGGACTTGGTTTAACGCATCGCTGGCCGGCTCGTTCTTCGTTATGTACTCCAAGATGTAGCTGGCCATTGCCTTATACCTGACGCGTACCTTGATGTCCATGTTAGACCTCCGTAGCCGTCGGCTTCGAGGATCCGCGTCGTTCAAGCCCATGCGTCGTAGCCCAGAATGGCTTCGGCTTAGCCGAAAGGGGTAGAGACATCCTGTGAAATGACTCATTTCAAATGAGTCCAGTAATAATCGTAACTGGTACCAACAAGGGCATCGGATACGAAGTATCTAAGAAGCTTATCGCTGATGGTGCCAAGGTCATCGTACACCCACGTGCTCGGAGCTGGGGTTCTATTCCCGGGTAAGGTGATACTGATAGTCTGTGTGTACTTCGTGCGCTATACCTCCTTGCCCCGTCTTGTATCGTATGATTTCACAGCTTCGATTCGAAGTCGAGGTTCTACCCCGCGGTGCGATCATTCTAAGAATCTGCTTGCAAGCAGCTGAGGAGGTCTACCGTGGCGCGCGCTGAAGTCGTGAATCAAAATCGAGAGTCATAACCAGGGTTTGGTACCGGGGGTCCGGACCCCCGGTACAGAATCAAGATTGCTCTGATAGTGTGGTTTGCCACAGTGGGTGATTCTTAAGTACCCTTTGTTGTGCGTAGTCGTGTGCGCACAGTATCTTGCGCAGTACTGATCGATTACCCATAGCTGTTCGATATTGCACGCACGCACAGGTGGTACATATGCTATACCCCACTCTGAGTGGACTAGCGTTGCTAGTGGGCTTGACGGTACACACGTTGCTACATCTGGTGCCCAGACCCAGGACCATCATGCCGTTCAACTTGAACGGTTCTAGCTCGAATCTGTATTGGAATCCTATTCTGGTGGTGAAAACGACTTCGCTCTTTGGCTGCAGGAGTTCGAGACGGTGGCCGAGGCTTCTAAGTGAACTATTAAGCAAAAGTCACAATATATCGTACTTTTTATGAAGGGCTCGGCCAAAAAGATCGCTAGGCAAGCCCTGGAGGAAGTTGAGGGCGACCCAGCTGCTGCCTATGCTCATGTGGTTAGGGCCCTGGAATCCAGGGCTCTATCCAGGCCCTGGATAGAGGCCGCCTCTATCCAGGGCCTGGATAGAGCGTACTCGCTCAAAATTCACGAGGCGTGGAAGCGCCTGGCTCGCCGTGAGTTGCACAAGGAAGACAGTGTTGATGGTGTATTAGTTGAACTCCGCCGCTACCTTAGAGTGCTAGGGGTTACTACCACAGTAGCTGCCGAGAACATCCTCCGTGAAAGCCTGATTGCCACCCTGCCCGAAGACGTGCAGAAGGCCATCCGGGTGTTCGAGGAGGATGGGCGCCAGTTGCCTTTACCTGATGTTGTTGCTAAGGCTCGAGCTCAGCTGAAGACTTACTCTGGTGAGAAGAAGCTTGCTGCGGGTGCTGTCACTGGTGGTCAATACTGTTATATCTGTGAGACAACCGGCCATATTGCTGCGGAGTGTCGAGAGCGCGGAGCGACACGTCCTATCTCGAAGCCCAAAGGCAAGGGAAAGGGCAAAGGACCCCGATGCTATACTTGTCAAAAGTATGGTCACATTGCAGAGGATTGCAAAAACAAACAGAGCAAGGCCGGTGCTGCTATTGAGAACGATTTTGTGCAGGCAGAGCAGCCGATGGGCGGGGTTGTTCTGCATCTGTAAAACGCCCACACTTAGTCTGTAAGTTCAACGGTCGTGAATATGCCGTTGATGTTGACACAGGGGCTGATTATTCATTAGTATCATCCAAATTTGTCTCATCTTTGGGTCTTACAGTTTGTCACGAGGTTTCCCCCGTACGGCTCAGAATGATGGATGCGGTTGGTGTCCTAACGAAAACAGGTCAGGTGGATCTTCCGGTTATGTATCTAGCTAAAGACGGATGGGTTAAGGTGGTCCATACTTGTTATGTTGTTGATAAAATGGTATTTGGGTCTTTAGTACTGGGAGCTGATTACTGCGACAGAGAAGAGTCTAATGATGGCGAGTCGCCATTGGCGACAACAGGGCATTGTCTGCTTCCTTGTTGTCCTTCGCATTCGATCAACATCCGCACAGTTCCTGACTGTCAGGTGGTTTGCAGGGGGAATATCAGTGAGTCACTGAGATGGCAATCCACGTGACACTCAGTTTGACAGTGCTTCACGGTGTGACCAACACAAACTATCCACATGGACATTGATTCCTAACCGTGAAATCAAGTGATTAGGTTGGTGGGAGAAAAATTGCAATCATGAGGCTTGATCAGCGTTTGAGAAATACTCACAGCGTATCCTGGGTAATCGAATGGTAAATAGTGATGGATAACCCGTGATAGAAGGTCCGACGATGAGTCAACGAAGATTATATTGGCACATCCTGCCTGTGGCCTCTGCCATATGGAACCAAGCACACACAGAATAATTCTCGTCAGGGCAGCGCTGAAGGAGACAAGCGACGTATCCGAAGAAATGCGAGCTGAACTTACATCGAACAAGCCTGAACAGTCGAGGAGGCAACGACCCAAAACGCACTTGACATCGACATTGGCACTCGCAGGAGCCGGAGGACACTCCGAAGCTTGTGTGCATTCCTTAGCGCAGATCGCGTAGCCAGTTTCATCCTTATAGCCCTACATGAGAAGCTTAATGCGCGCAATAACATGATCAACCTACGTGAATAGCGAATAGGCTCTGGTTGTTCGGGCAACGACAGCTCCCGACCACTTTTCCTTCAGACCAACGGCAGTCCGTGGGTTCACCGTAGTATGGCAAATCTGAGTCCTCCACTAGCCCGTCCATATCTGACACGAGCACACAGCAGTCACTACAGCAACCCGAATGATCCTTTCACCAATAGTCTGCCCCTGGTCGATGCTATCGTCATAAGACCTAATCAAAGAATTATTACAAATTCAATCAATGCAGTCTTATGGCTCAGTAACTCACATAGGCAGTTCGGTGATGTTGAAGCCGCTGCCCGAGACTATGAACAGAGCGATGAGAGGAATGATGGAGCACATGACGTATGCAAATACGCTATATGAATAATTTAAGCTCACTGACAGGTAACTGGAACTAACTGATAGCTCCTCCACTATCAGCTCCCGTCCCGATTCCGTTCTCACACTCGAGGACTCCAGAAGTTCCGGTCAAAGATCTACGACATTTCAATATCTATTTCAGCTTGGGATCGAACAGATAGTAACGAGAATATTGTTGTCGTCCGTATCGTTCCCTCGCATCAAGGCGACCCGACATTGGCTCGACAAATGCATCCCAAGAATACACTGGGACGGTCCCAGTGGGACCTCGAGCCAGATAGCTACCGAGCGCTCGATTCTCAATATTAGTTATACGTGATATACTCCATACCAGCGCTAGAGCATGCAAGCACAGGGAATAACTCGCACGTACGACATGCGTACATGCGTCACATGTACGTGGAGGCCCTTCTATAAATGCGTGCATGCTACAACGTATCCATTCGGAGAAGGGGAACTCTTTCAGGGGCCGGTTAATAGCACCTTGAATGCGCCGGCGACGTAAAAGCGAGGTCCGCAGCTTTTTTGGCGGGAGAGTGGGCGGAGACTACTATTTCTATATGGTTGTTAGTGACCTCAACACGCGGGCTGATTCTTGGGACACCGCGTGACGTAGCAGGGTGACCTCACCAGCTGCACATGCGTGCGGGTCTCCCGGACCCCGGAAGTTTCATCTCGGTAATCAACCGTACCATTCAAGAGTAGAGGCTCCTGAGGGGTTGTGCTCAGACAGTCTGAGTCAGACTGCCCGACGAATCACGCAGGTGCGGCCTCAAATTCTCCGCGAAACTACGAAGGATTCTCATCACTACATGCGAATAAACGAACAAACCCGATGGAATAATATATCTTGACCTAGTTGCTGCGGAATTTAAGCTATCGGTAATAGTTGCGGAGCGAGCGGAGCTTATGTTACTGTCCACGAACACTCGTGTGCGTGCGTCCGTCCGTCCGCCCGTCCGTCCGTCCGTCCGACCGTTCGACCGTGCGTGAGCAAAAATTCCGACCCTACCAGGGCGATTCAGAAGACAAGCAGGGTATCATTCTGTCCCTCGTTGACTGCTCATCAGCGTTAAAATATAGCGAAAGTGTGGCCGTTGCTTTTCCCGCTTACTTTTGACGAAACGGTTCTTCGCACAAGAGATGAACTATTAGCTCAGTACGTTAGTGACCACGACACTCAACCGAACGGCCCAGGGTCAGACCACACGTTGATCATTTTTCTCAAGGAGCACACTCTGTCTCTATAAGGAGACAGTGGTCGGCCACGTCGACGACGCCAGCCAACACCCGACAACCTTTTGTTTTTTAGTCACCCAATTTCCAAAATAATTTCAATAAGAACCCGCAGAATTCTTGATAAGAAGCTCAGCGAGCTCCGCCCCTTCGCACCGAAGACCTAGTTACTAAGTTACTAGGATATTGGTAGTCCTTGGGGTAAGGACCAACCTCACTCCGCCCCAACACAAACACATCTGCCTGGTTTTTCACAGTGACCCAAATCAATATTAGTATGTTGTAACGCGGCCTAGATGGCAGTCAGCATCGGACATTGGTTGAACCGATAACGTTCTGAGAGTGCAACTATCATTAGGTTAACCCTCGCCGGTACCAACCGCTGAACGTATTAGAATATCAAATGCCAATTAGAGCGATCTCTGGAACAAATAGCAATGAACCACCGATTCATGATATCACTCCATGTGTCAATGGTGACGTCATATTATACATGTCACATTTTTCACGCGTGATTTGCAAAGCACGACGTATTGCGAGTTTTACGCGAAAATTTCGCGGCGAAATGCATGTAATCTAGAGGAAATTATTCTCTCTGCTCGCTGGTGACCCTTGAGTCCGGTGTGTTGGACCGGGCCTGGGTGCGTGGATATGACTTTCCGTTCATGAAGATGAGTTCGCGTGCAAGGCTTTATTCAGAGACTTCACCCCGTATTATGAAGAGTCTGATCGATCGAGTATAACTGTGCTATAGTTCTATCATTATCTGAGTTATCTCAGCTCTTCTTCGCTTATTTATTTTCGTTCGGTTCGGTTAGAAGATCGGTTCTATCGACCTTCGGCTTAACTGTCTTGACTTACCTCCGTCTTATATTTGTGGTATCGATCGACAGTAACTAAATACCCTACAACGGGCTAGTGTCACTACTGTACCACTAAGTTAGCTGGTAAAACTACAAAAGCTGGAGTCGAGCTGGCTTATCTAGTTATAGCAGTGAGATATCGATTTTGGTACACCAGTCAAAAGGGAAACGAAGCGAACTATAGCGGAAATGGCGCCACTCGCATCACATAGAGGGTTGTCATATTGTGACTGGCGACATATAAAAGTCTTGTGTCTCCGGAACGAGGATTCGAACTCAGAGCTTTGGTATTTTATAACTGAGCCCCCAGGGGAGATGTACTGCAAGGGGGGACAAGCTTCTCTTTTTTGGAGACAGAGTTATACACGTTTGACATGGTAGATTATCACAAGCGAAACGTTCATCAACAGCCTTAATAACCAGTCAAATAAACAGAGCCCGCAGAGGAACGGGCGGAACAATAGTACATACTAATAGCTATACTGCAGTGCGAAGGTGTACAAACGGGGCAAAGTTAGTGATTAAGTGTACTTGGAGTAGCGGTGGCAATTACAGGCGCATCTTGAAACGATGGATGTGCACAGAAAATATTTTACGCGTCAAAGACATATATATCTTGTCCTCTCGGATAGCTTGCCCGTTCTCAACTCATGTCGTTCGAATCCTGTCGTCAGCGTTTCGGGAAGCTCCGCTCCGCCGCCGGCTCTTCGCGCACGCCCTACTAAATAACGCAACTAACCTCGGGTTGTCGCCAATATGAGCTCCCTCAGTAGAGCTTGTCGAGTCGCAGCTTACTCCTCCCCGTTGTTACACAGAGGGCTCATCACTACCTCTCGAGTGGCCCGTGGTGGTATGGGATCTGGCTTTGGTACGGTCATCATCATAATCACGCAGCTCCACTGCTATCTCCACTTAGGTACAAGCTATGCTCATGACCCTAAGTGGATCGAGGATTGGATGGCTAGGAAGCGTGTTGGTGTCGATCGCATGGGTGGGCTGTTTTTACCCGTGTCACATCGTCCTCACATCATCTCCCTTCAGATTGGTTTTTCCGAGCCTTTAATCGTCTACGTCTCTACGAGTTATTCTTCAAGTCAACTCCGAGGTGAGTTTGCCACTTTAAGTTGTTGTATTCTTCCTGTGTGAGGTTCTATGCATTTATGGTAATTGGTGGCTTGCTCGGCTCCTACTATTGGAGTCGCTTCTGGGAGCAGTATTGGATTCGGGTTAACAAAGGGGTAAGTCCGTATTATTGGTTTCGCCCCTCTCGTATAATCATTCGATTCTCATCCTCGGCATCTTACGTTTGCTAATTTCATCCGAGTTTCCCTCTGACCGACCTCATTCGTATCTTTCTCTGACCGACCTCATTCGTATCTTCCTCTGCTCGACCCCATTCATATCTTTCTATGATCGACCTCATTTCGTATCTTCCTATGATCGACCTCAGTCGTATCTTCCTATGACCGACCTCAGTCGTATCTTCCTATGATCGACCTCATCCGTATCATCCTCTGATCAACCTCGTTCGTATCTTTCTATGATCGACCTCAGTCGTATCTTCCTCTGATCAACCTCGTTCGTATATTTCTATGATCGACCTCAGTCGTATCTTTCTATGATTGACCTCGTTTTGTATCTCTCCATCAGCGACTTTACAAAGACGTGCCGTACGTGTATCCCCCACAAGAAGAATAATCAATGAGGCTCCGATAGAAAACCAAGTGAGGCAAATAATTGGTCGATTTGATTTACTCCAATTCTTCGGGTAGGTACAGCATACAGTATGTCACTGGATGCATCTCGTAGTGTTATGACGATACTATTGAGAATCTACACGCATATTCTGAGCTCTTACAAAATCGACATGTTGTGTTATCATAGTTGACTTCAGTACTTTTCTGAAGAAGTGTGGTATTGGAGTTTTATCCGCGATGTGAAAAAAGCTCACGAGAAAAAATATTTCACAATTCACTTCGCGAAATAATGTTTTACACGTGAAGTCATGCGCTTGATATGGAGGGATTCGCCCTCCAATATTGAAGTTGAATATAACATTTGAGGAGGTCGTCTCAAGCCTGCTGATACTCGTGTAATTCGCATGCTCACTTTGTGATGGTAAAACTTTGACCTATCCGGGTGAGGCTGGAACTCTATTGGGAATGGAGTTTAATAACGCGTCGGAAATACTTCATATGGTTGGTTTGTAGCGACAGTAGATACGTTTACGGTGTAGGTCGCGCTGAACGTATGAAAATGTACGCATGGTCGCACGCGCGTGCATGTGTTGATGATAATATAAAAATTAAAAAAAAAACTTGTTTATTTGCGTACATTTCTATCCGAATTCGTATGAATGACAATAATTTTCCAAATGTTTTCCCATAATTTCTATATTGTTACCATCAACACATGTAGTTGACCATGAAAATATTGTGTGTGTATCAGTCTGAAGTCCAAGGCGGTCCCTTGCCTCCTTGTTATTTATACAGTTCTCGCTTTCTACACCCTCTAGCACTGCTCAATCAACACGACAGAGAATAAATCGAAACTCAATCGTAATCATCCAGGTTGCGATGGAGTCTCATCATCCAATTTCACTTTCTTCATCGCCTCTCTTCGTGGGTCGTCCTTCCCAAGTGGAACCGCCTCCACTTCCACCAATACCTGCGGAATTCGCTCAAGTATAAAATCAATACAACAATTATGCAAATCTTGAAACACTTCGCTCCGCTGTACTCGAGATGGGACTATCCCAACGGGCAATATGGTCAACTACATGTGTAGATGGCATTTGTGGGAATTCCGAGGAAAATGGACGAAACTCTCGATCACTTTCTGCGCGCTTCTATTCGAATTTCCATGTGAACTCCTATAATTTGGAAACTCGTGGACTAAACTGAGGAAAGCGAACATTTATTCCTCCAAGTTGGAGGAAACAACAACAACAACAACAACAACAACACCACCACCACCAACAACAACAACAACAACAACAACAACAACAACAACAACAACAACACCACCACCAACAACAACAACAACAACAAAAACACCACCACCACCAACAACAACAACAACAACAACAACAACAAAAACACCACCACCAACAACAACAACAACAACAACAACAACAACAACAACAACAACAACAACAAGAACAACAACAACAACAACAACAACAACAACAACAACAACAACAACAACAACAACAACAACAACAACAACAACAACAACAACAACAACAACAACAACAACAAGAACAAGAACAAGAACAAGAACAACAACAACAACAACAACAACAGCAACAAGAACAACAACAACAACAACAACAACAGCAACAACAACAACAACAACAACAACTACTACTCACATCACCGGGCAACTCCAACTTTTTCTGTTGCCGCATTCTCTCCGCATTTGCATGATTCAGACAAGCCACAGCGGCGACCTTCGACGATCCTCCATAGTCATCCCACCAAACAACCTGATCTTCTCATGAGGAAAATATTCAGTGATAATTTCAAATTTCCTATAAGACAAAATGGTAGTAGAAAAAATTATAATTTCGTGGCGCGTGACAGTTGACGAAACAAAACTGTACACCCAACGTAGCCGTTGAACGACAACCCAGTACACAATTCCAATATCAGAACCACCCGTATACCAGTATTGAAAAGAAGTCGACGGAAGCTTCCAAATTATTTGTCACTCGCCACGAAATTACAAAGAGTGATCTCTTTTCTCTGCATCATCCTATATGAATTCAACTTACTCTGAAAGTGGCACCATAACCAGCCTTCGACAAGATCGAATCGAGCCAACGTTGGTTGCCCCATTTAGTGTCGTTGAAGACCTCAGAAGAAGAACGAACAATTACAGATTGTCGGAAGTAACTACATACAGCAAAATCATACACATGAACAAACGCGGACGCATCCTTACGGGCAATTCTCATTATCATGTCGTTCTTTGCACAGGAGACATGGCAGAGTAGTCGGCTCTCTCGACCGTTCCCTCCGCTTCCCGCGACCCGGGTTCAACTCCCGCGGCCGTCTATTCTGCTGTTTTTCTCGAGGATCTTGTCGATTCCAATGCTTCTTCCCATGCTGTCCATTCCACGTCGACTGAGACCATGCAAATGACGTTTTCTCTTCACTCTCCGGCGGAAGCTCCCCTGAAATCAAACACCCCATCATTTCCAGCAGTTTTCGAACGTATATTTTCTTCGCCGAATTTTAAGAAATTCACGTTTCTCGTCAACTATTCGGAGTTTTGCATTGGAACTAAAATACGGTCTGTCAACATTCATAAAAGTATATTTTCCAAAATTTATCTCTCGTAATAATTTCCCACTTGAGCTCACTGCCACTGATAGATTTGATAATGAAAAAATATTGAATTCACAAAATGCGGAGCCTCTCCTTATGAAGACAGAATTATACACTAAGTCAGACTTCGTGTATAATAGACTTCGGAAGTCTACAGAGGAAGTCTATGACGGTAAATTACACACGAAATCTATTACCGTAAATCGAACGAAACACGAATGAAATATTCGTCAGTATTGGAAATGCGATCACTTTTGCGAGCCTTCACAAAAGCAATAACAATACGAGTATTGTATCGAACCGCCGCAATTGAACTCAAGTGATTAATTATTACATCCAAGCCAGTCTACGATTTCACCAACACTTACTGGTGGGCTCCACACGGACCACTCGTTCCTCGTTATATCCCAACCTCGCGAGTGCTTTCAACAGCATCTCATCTGTTGTAAAAAGCGCTCGCCATTCTAATCGATTATGGTAATAATTCTAATCGTACATGATTCCTCTGTTGGTAGTGCAAATATGATACTCTCTTTCCACGAACCCCACGTCATGGGCACATGTTCGAGTACAAACTTCTGCGGTGGATTGCCAACAAGGACGCTCCTGAGGGCAAAACTGTCAAAGTCAAATCCTCATTCGAAAGAATCAACCCCAAACCAACAAGATCAATCGAATTTTCATTTATACAATTTCGTTGGAGTAAATCCATCCCTTCTAATTAGCATAACTATATATTTATCAAATCCAATATTAGCAAATCGATCAATCGGGCGAGCGCTTCTGCGACAGACTCCACCCCAACACGTGGCTGAGGAAAAACCGACGTCGACTGAACTCATCTTCATAAGAAAAAAGATTACAAACCGACGAGATGAACCGAATATATACTTATACAACTTTGTTGAATTTGATAATATACTAGTAGCAAATCGATCAATCGGGCGCGCGCGATATAACTCACAGAACTTTTTCTCGCACTCCTTCCAAAGTGCCGATTTCAGTCTTCGGCGGATCGATGAAGTTCTCCGCCGGCAGCTGCTTATCTCCCCGAAATTCTCGACTGATTCCCCAGACCTGCGAAAATTACAAAACAAATATCAAAAAACAGGCGGAGCGGAGCAGCCGTACTATCGCTTACCTCGACGTAACAATATGGTTTAACTCCTCCTCGGAGGCACCTCACTCGCGGTGGCGCACACCTTTCACGACTACACCATTGGAAAAATACCTAGACGGAAAAAAATCGTGGAAATATGCATGTGTTGATAACAATATGAAAATTTTGAGGAAATTTTTGGGAAAATTTATTTCACGACTACTGCATATCACCGCGAACATCAGACTTTTCACAGAGTCAAACTCTAATAATAATTTCCACCCAAATTTTTTTATTTTTCCTCTCACTTTTGTTCCTCGATTTTCCGACTCATTAGAACTCCCCTCGGGGCTCTGCTGATTCCTCATTTCCAACGGACACCTACCAAACGAAAGATACGCACGCGCGCGCAAAATCTTCCGCGTGCGCAAAAAATACTCACCGACATAAATATGGTTCTTCAACACTCAATCGGGCTGATT